TCTTTAAATCGCATCGAGCGCGCAACGCGGACTAAAGTTCGCTGTGTATTGTAACATGAGTTCTATTGTAAACGCAGGACTTTTAATCCCTCGTGCGTGTGCGTTACTCGATTTAGTTGAAAGCAATCTATTTTAACGAAAAATTCAGCGGACAATAGTTCCTCGTCTGCGCAGGCCATTATGGCGACATATTGTTGCCGGCCTATGCATGGTATGAAAACGTAAAAAGTTTTGGAATGAGAAGTCCATAGCAATAATATTATAATACTATAGTGGGTGCACGCCACTGTTCGTCAGCGTGAAATGATAAGTTTTCCATACAAGCTTTTAGGCTTTATATAACCCCTCCCCCCTCCACACACACACACACACTTGATTCAGTTTCGGGACAAAAAAGAGCCGAAGAAGGACATTCTTCGGGGTCTTCTAAATATCTCCATACCAAAATTCATCGTATTTGGAATATGACATTAAGAGGGGAGGCGGGCAATGTTATTTCCATACAAACGTTCTCGACTGATTCCTCCTTGATTTTTATCACTAAAGAATAGATCCCCATACATAAAATATAAATTTTCTCATTCTATGTTTTCCGTTTTTCGACGACTTGTGTTTCCAAGAAACTAGAAGCCCTAGAAAAAGGCCAAAGATAAACAATTTTTTATGACGTCTAATGTGGAGATTTAATAAGCATTTACAAAAACAGCAAAACATAGTGGCATAGTATAACTACTTATTATTCTTTGTGTATATTTTTTTTTATATTCATCTAATTTTCGAGGAGGAAATCGACGAGAGCCAACCCTCGAATTTTGCAATTTTTATATGCAATATTCAGTGTCACCCACTGTTATCCCTATCACAGGGTATTTCGAATACATATTTCTCAAATGTCTCAGCTCGCGTCCGCTCTTAATGAGTATATACGAAATTAACATCAACAGTAAAAAAAAGGTATTCTATTACCTATAAGATGCTATAAGTGAGTCGTTGATTTTTATGTAATGGATAGCTAAAAATATCGTGGGACGTACTTCGAATGTCCGTAGGGATGTAATCCAAGTGACCAACGATATTTTGTCCCCGATTTATCAAAGGTAAATCAGTGAAGATTTCCTGTGTGATTACCAAAAAAGCGGCACAGCGCTGGGGCATGCAGAAATAACTTCTGATAAGAAATATTAATCGTATGACGTTTATATTGATACGGAAAATGACTACAGTAACGAACAGTCTGAGATTTGTTTTATTTCAATTAAGCGGATAGATAAACATTGTAAAGGAACATGCTAAATTGCAAGCTAGAAGATTACAGCCATAAGACTTGAAGACTGAAGAATTCTTGATCAGTGTTTTTCAAAGTTTTAAAAAAGGGAAGGGCGTTGAGAATCTGTGAAAATTAGAGGATGTTGATACGATTTATAATTGATCAAGATTTTCTAGCTTTTTTGAAATGTTAAATACACTCAACGGCAGAAAAAGCGGACCGGGTGCTTATCGCGATATTGTAAGCAAACAATGAAAATCTAAACAATATTTATGAGAAATTCCAATTAGAGTAGGTGTCAAGAGCATTATTGAGTTAGATGAAGAGGGTAATTTGAGATTAAGTTGAGTTGGGTTTGACTTCTGTAAAATATTTTGTCAGTGATATTATCCAAAATGCATGAGGAAGGTAAGGTTATTTTTTTCTTTAATTTTCTATGATTGTACAGTTTTTTAATTTTAGTATTAATTTGATGCTCATTTCGATTGCAGGGAAGATTAGAACCTGCCAATTACAGCTGCTCAGGTTGCTCAGGTAATAATGTCAACTGACCAGGGAAGAACTCAACGTGAGGTGGCTGCTCTTCTCAACCTACTACGTACCAAATTAAGAAGAGCTCTCAAAAGGTACCGAGAGACTGGTCTGTACACACGGCCACCAGGAACACGAGAAGAACAGGAGACATGAGGCAGTGGTCGATTTAGGTGTACCTCCGCACGTGACGACCGATTCATAACCTTGACTTCTTGTATTGAAAAAGTTGTTTCTAACTGATCAGGCGGCGGCTGCAGGCGGCACGGGGAGTCATTGTTAATGAACGAACGGTAAGAAGATGGCAGAACGTGATGTACGTGCGAAGAAACCAGCACGTGTGCCGGAATTGGGGAGACATCACAGAGTTGCACGATTGAGGTTTGCGCGTCAAATGTCAATTGGACTTATGATCAGTGTGCCAATGTGTTGTTCACAGACGGGTAGGGGTATATTTATCCTAGGGCCATGGCCCAGGTATTTCTGACAGCCCTCTGTGCAGAGCCTGCCTGGAGGAGGAGGAGACGAGCGCCCATGTTCTGCTGGAATGCAGAGGCGTTGCAAGACAAAGGACTCCTCTAATGGGAAGCCCGCGGACACTAGTAAAAGCCAGCAGCAACATCCGGGGACTGCTGAGCTTTCTGGATGAGCTGGGATGGCAAGACTGATACCAATCCCTACGCAAAATAGGCACTGGGTGTCGAGTTGCGGAAACAGCCCGCCGTACTACTAAGACTAAGGTCCGTAATACAGAATGACAACTAAGTGTCGATCTTTACTGGAGCACAGTTAGAAAGGGATGGCGCTATGTGCTATACAGAGCGACATCACTTTCTAACTGTACTCAAGTAAAGATCAACACTAAGTTGTCATTCTGTAATACGAGCCTAAGACTCAGAAAGAAAGAAAGAAGGGCGGCAGGCTGTAAGGGACGGCTAGAAGACCTGCGAGGGGCGGCAGAAGCCCATATAAAAGTATTCGTTACTGATCCATATTTAGATTTGATTTACTTATTCTAGGGAGGAGTGGTGCATATCGTAAATGGACCGGGGCGTCAGATTTCTAAAAACGCCGCTTCAGACGAGTGTAGAGTAACTTTCAAGCACCAGATAAATGGTTAAAAATAAGAAAAAATAATATTGAGCCATAAATTGCAAGAAAATCACATTTGTTTTATTGGAGCCTCTCTTAAATATTTATTTTATTCTGTTTTTAGTTTGATAATACACAGATGATGTATTTCCATACTCCCCATAAAATGTTGTTATAGTGAACACATAAATACATCATCTGGGAAAATTTCTACTGTCTAGCTATCATGTTTCATGAGATACAGCTTAGTGACAGACAGAAAGTGGTATGGAACCCTGACTAGATATAAAAACAACAAGTAAATGAGAACAAACAATAATAAATACTACTTTAATGTACAGCAATATCTTCCAAGATAAATATTATCATATCATCATAATCAGCCTATTAATGTCGCCACTGCTGGGGAGCAGGCCTTCCCTATGGATGGAACAGGGAGATTGGGCCATGACCCACCACGCCCGCCCAGTGCGGATTGGTGGGTGCTAACCACTGCAGATGCAGCTGGGACCAACGCCTTAAAGTGCCTTCCGAAGCATGGAGGAACTCTTTTTTTTTAATTCAAGATAGAAGATTTTTGGTCACCCATCCAATAACCAACCACTGCGAAAGTTGCTTAACTTCAACGATTGCAGCCGAACGCGCTAACCACCTGCACCATCGAACTTCTCCAGATAAATATGAACCAGAATTATATCTAAAAATACACAGAACTGTAATAATATGTGCTCCAGATGGCTAGAGAATTTATAGTTTTACTTTCAATGTCAGAATACCATGTAATCTATTCATGCATCTTTTTTCTGCCTGTATTCATTTTCTACAGCTCTTGTTTTTCTTCATAAATTTAATAAGATGAATGTTTCTTATAAAACTGTAGAGTTTGTTTGTTTGAATGCACAAATCTCAGGAACTAATGGTCCATGGTGATGGTGGAATAATTCTTTTTGTGTTGGATAATGCATATATTAAGGAAGGCTTTAGGTTTTAATATATCACAACGACTAATAGCAGCGGAGGACCAATTAAATGTTGCAAAAACTGCAAAATATAATCCACTTGTGAGCTTCCATTGCATGCACTGGGTAAATGGTAAAAATTACCCAAAAATTATGTATGATGGAATTGTTCCCATTAAAAAGTTCTATAAAAAAGACTGTGACAGCATATGTGTATCTTTCAAGGGTAACCCACTATAACCTTTCGCCTCAAATGTTAGTGAAACAGCAAGGCTTCTCCTAAATTTTTTTTTTTATCTAGTTAGGCAAATGACTCTACCCCACCTGATGTTAAGTGGTGATAAAGTCCAAACGTGAATATAGCTGGTACAGCAGTTATAAACTGCTACACCAACCATCCTCACCTTGCGGGCCCGCATAAATGCTTCTTCACGCATTATATTGTTAAGGTGACAATATTAACTCTCTTTGCATGCAAATGCACCATTATGCATTGAAACATTAGTGATATAATTATACAATATGTGTTTAATATAATAGAAATAGTAGAGGTAAAATTATGGATTAAACAGATTTGTGTGAGAATTCCTATATGATTTAAAGTAGTTTTGTTGAATTTTTGTGTTGAGTAATGAGAGGGCATGGATGGTAAACAATATCGCTTTTTTAAGCATATTACCATATCTGATTTTAAAAAATAAAAGAAACACATCTTTATTGAAGGGCGTAAATATAAATAAAGAAGGTAGATATCCAACAATTAGAAATCATCATTCGCAGCAAAAATAAACACAAAGGGAAAGTAAAGCCATTTGAAAATGTACCTACCTGTAGGTAAGTGAACATAAACGTTTCTAGCAATATGCATTAGCACTCAAGACCTAAATACATGCATTCGCGATATCACACTACCAGCATACTTTTAAAAGTACGCAGAAAGATCTAGGTCGTCATGAGCATGTAGAAAATGTGTTCAAGTAAACGAGTTCGAAGCGGCATAATCATTTGTTAAACTATTGCTCTCGCTAGTCACAAATGACACACAGACAGCCGTTTCATACAGAATCTTATTCCCATTTATACTATACAGCAAATCAATAATATCATAAAAGGTATACAAACAAAATCAATAACTACTACGAATGACTAACCACACTGGCGGTGTCTTGACTGTCTAGCGAATACTTGTCCGTTTCTTTCCCTTGGTGGTCGTTGGAGAAGTTTTCATATTTACGTGTGGGGCTACTTTTCATCGTTTACGCGAAATTTTGACCTTAAACGTTGAAATACATTTTTTACGTACCGACCGAAAAGAAAACACCAAACACGACAATAAATAGGTGCTCGTACCGAAACGAAAATTCTTTCACTGACTGACGGTGGCTGTCAGTCAATTTTTTTTTTTTTTTTTTTTTTTTTTTTCGTTTGTCCTTTCGGACAGGCTAAGGTCTGGGACCATACTGCCTCGTCATTAGTTATTTTTCTTCTTTTTATTATTAAAATTCAATATAACTTCCTCAGTTTGATAATTTCCGGTATATTTTCTAGTTTTTTGTTTTACTCTATTATTATGTGCTTTTTTCCGAGCACATTGAACATCTTAAACACCAAACATTTAATTTTTTCTCTTACTAGACAGTCCAATCATGAATTAATTACATCCTATATGAATTTCATATTTATTTAATATCTTTTTTATAGTACACATTTACACAAAAAATAAATCATAGACCAATACCATGCAATACCTTAATCCTAATACAAAACTTAAGAAAAGAAAAAACAAACTTAAAACAACGACATTTGATACGTTTCAAACTTGTTTCAAACCGACGACCTAAACGAAAAAGAATACCTACAAGCAAAATTACGAAAATAAACATTTTTTTCAAACAAATAAAAGGAAAGAGAACATGCGGTACCTATTAAACTTAACTGAGCGTTTTGTGTATGCAGAACATTTAACCTTAAAATCTAATACACAACGATATTACAGAATATTTATATTTCTTCAACAGTGTTTGCAATGAAATTATACAGAGGAACGTATGTACAATTATTTACAAGAAGATCGGTCAAGGAACGCGGGACCAAATCATGTTTGCCATAAATTTGGATTAGCTCATCCAACAACACAAGGCGCTGAATGCCGAAGAATGGGCAGTCAAAGAAAATGTGAGCTAGGGTTTCTTCTTGGGAATTGCAATGAGTACATTGAGCATTATTCACCATTTGCAACCGAAAGAGATGGAAATTAAGCCGACAATGACCAAACCTTAAGCGAAAAATCGTCGTATAGAATTTTCTATTCAAAAAGCTATTTGATTTGCAGAACCATGGCAATTTGTTTACATCAACATAAAGAGGTGTGTACCATAGACCTTTACCTTTAACCTGTACTATACAATTCCAATGGGCTCGCCACTCTTGGTGCATTCTTTCCTTTAGCAGAACAATCAAATCTGTATAAGGTATAGACATCTTCTGAGTATTGGTTTCAGTAGCTAGAGTATTGATAGATTTTGCTAGATAATCTGCATTTTCATTACCTGTTACACCAATGTGAGACGGAACCCACATGAAACTTACAATTATATTATCAACATTGTATAGATCATACCAGACTTCTTTAATAGCATGAATAATGTAATTGGTGTTTGCACTTAATTTATTGTTTTCTAAGTTTTTGAGCACACTCATGCTATCACTAAGTATTAGCCATTTTTTATGTCCTTGATTTTGATGTTTTATGTGTTTCAGAGCAGCCAAAATTGCTAGAGCTTCTGCAGTGAATACAGAGGAATTTTTGTCTATCTTGTAACCTAAACCAGATTTTATAGAGCTAACGTAAAAAGAAAAAGATGCACTTGAATCATTTTTTGAGCCATCTGTATAAATATGTTTATGATCAACCCAATTTGATAGTTCACCAAACACCTCCTCTTTAGTAGAAAGCTCCTTGTAGATATTTATGTCAATTGATGGAAATTTGCTCTCAAAATGCCCTTCATAGCATGGTAAGATTGAAGGCTTATAAATGTTGGAATTTTCGAGAAACTGAGTGAACTGAGGAAATCCTTGCATGATATACAAAGGCCTACCTGCCAGTGATTGTGATAAATATGAAATATTTTTTAAAAGTTGATTATTGTTTATTGAGAATAGCTTCAAAAGGAATCTTTCCTTTAAGTAACTAAATCTTATTGAAATGGGAGAAAGATTACACTCAATTTGCATAACATTAATGGGAGTGCTTTTGAAAGCACCAGTTATCAAACGCATACTTTTATTTTGAATTTTGTCTAGGATATCTACAATTTTGTTGTCATGAGCAAAACAAAAAAAAGCATACTCAAAATGGCTGCGAATCAAAGACTTATACAGTAACAACAAGATCTTAGGATCAGCTCCCCAATATGTAGAAACTAAAGATTTTAATATGTTTAAAGCTTTGTTAGCCCTAGTTGTTATGTGTTCAATATATTTTTTCCAAGATAAGTTGTGAGTTATTAAAACACCCAAAAACTTTGTGTCTAATGAAACTGGAATAGCAACATTGTTATAGTAAACAGTAGGCATCAAAGATCTATTTTTCCCAAATACAAGCAGTTTTGATTTTAATGGGTTAATATCAAGATTTAAGTATGTAAAATATTGATTAAGATTAAATAAGGCACTATTAATTTTATTTACTAAATTTGTAATTTTATGATCGGAAGCATATACTACCAAGTCATCAGCAAACTGTAAATTTTTGACATGTCCACCCAGAATTAAGTTGAGACGTCGGATATATAATATAAAAACAAGAGGAGATAAAATTCCTCCCTGACAGACACCAACAGAAGCCAACCGTGGGCCATATAGGTAACCATTATTCTTAACAAAAACTTTTCTTTCAGACAAGAACTTTTGGACCCAATGAACAAGTTTTGGTGGTATACCCACTGAAGTTAACTCATTAGAAAGCACATCAACATTGACACTGTTAAAAGCTCCCGCAACATCAAAGAATACAGACACCATAGTTTGATTTTTTACTAGACAATTTTGGATGTCAAGTTGTAATTGGCAGATACTTTCACGAGATGAGCGACCTCTTCTAAATCCAAACTGATTCGAAGGTAAAATGCCATTTTTTTCCACATAGAACTCCAATCTTTGCTTTAGTAGTTGTTCAAAAATTTTTCCTACACATGAAGTTAGTGCAATAGGGCGATAAGAATCTTTATCCAATTTAGGCTTATTAGGCTTTAAAATAGGAACCAAGCAATCTATTTTCCAACAAGGTGGTATGTCATTGTTTTCCCAAAGATGATTTAAAACCTTCAAAAATATCTGCAAACTAGAATCACTAAGAGTTTTCAACATTTTATAAGGGATACCATCCAATCCAAATGCACTTTCTCTTCTGGAGGAGACTGCGTTTTTCAATTCTGTTATTGTAAATGGTTTTATTAAAAAGAGGTTGGTGGAATTTGATTGAGATCTATTGTAGGAACAGTCCTGATGAGTAGGTACATAATCAGGAGTATATTTCTTAAGAAAAGGTAAAACCCAGCTGTCACAGTCTGGATGACTTAAAATAAAAGATTTATTGAATTTACGCATATATTTCCAGATTACAGTAAGAGGGGTACAACGATTGAATGAACTACACAAATCAGCCCAGCTTTTTGATCTTTCAGTTTTAAGGGTGAGTTTTTTTAAAGCTTGCAACCTTTTAAATTCCAAATAGGTTGTTTCTGATGGATTATTTTTAAATGTAATATATGCTTGTTTAGAATTACTCACAGCAACTGAACAATTATTATTCCACCAAGGTAATGAGAGTCTTTTGCCAGTTTTTCTGTTGGTAGAGTTGGATTTTAATTTGGTAGGGGTTAAAGACTCTGTGGCTGAATAAAGAATTTCACAAAATAGTGTATAAGCCTCCAATGGGGTGTATGATTGAACACAAAACTCAGATAAAAGACTTTCAACTTTACATTGATACATTTTCCAATCAACCAGTTTAAAATTTTTGAATATTGGAAAAGTGACCTTATCATCCATGACATTATTGTTATTACAATCTTGTTGGTTGTTGACATTGAGACTAATATTTGTTTTTACAGGTAGATGATAACTGCCGAGAGGATCATCATGAACAGACCATTCACAAGATAAAGCCAAAGAAGGACTAACTATGGTCAAATCTAGAGCATTGGGCCGCCAAGTTAAAGAGCCAACTGTGGTTGGTTGCCCATCATTAAGAAGAATCAAGTTATTTTCATCAATGATATCCAGAATATCTCGACCACGAGGATTTGTGGAATTACAGCCCCAAGAAGAGTGATGACCATTAAAATCACCTGCAAAAATCATCGGACCAGGGATAGATTTTATAAGAGAATCTAATTTGCTTTTACTAAAGGCAGGATTAGTATTTGGAGGACTGTAAAAGCTAACAATTGATATATCTTTATTTCTTATTGTAATACGAATACAAATATTTTGCAAAGTATTATCAAAATTTGTATTGATTTTAGTATAAACAATGTTATTGCGAATTAATATTGCAACTCCATTATGTATATTATCAGAATCATTTCTTTCTATGTTGTAACCTTTTATTTTGAATTGTTGATTCGGTCTTAGCCAAGTTTCTGATATTAATGCTAAATGAATGTTGTGTTCATAAAGAAAATTTGTAAATATGAGCCTACTGCTTACTAAACTCTGAGCATTCCATTGTACAATATTTAAGTTAGCCATTTTTATTTTTGGAAGGTATTTTTCTGAATGTATTATGTAAATTTTCTTTTATAGTATTACTATTTATAGGTACATTCTTATTAGATACTATATTCATTATTGTTTCTACTAATAAATTCATAAATAAGTCTGATTTTGATAAATTATTTAAATGTGTTTCTATCGATTTTTCGGCAAGTTTGGGAAATGATTTTTCATTAAACAGTTCTGAATACTGCACAGCTCTACTTTTAATTTTGTTGTCTTCGATCTGTTGCTTTTTAATTGGACAAGAGGATGAGATGGCTACGTGATTACCTCCACAGTTAGTGCACTTTGCATTTTCTATATCAACAGTACAAGATTTATAATTATGATTTGTCGAACAAATTGAACAGACTTCATTATTGCGACAAAACTTAGCAATGTGACCGAAACGCATGCAACGTAGGCACTGCTTAACAGGTGGAACGTATGGACTGACCTCGTGTCTCCAATGGTCTAGATATACGTATTCTGGCAACTGAGTAGAGGCAAACGTTACTGCGACTGTTTGCGTGGGCTGGTACGAGACTGCACCAGCATCCCCCCGCACACGCCGCATGAACCGCCGGACTTGTATAATGTTTTTGGAGCTACCTATCAAAGAGAAAATGTTTTTATTTGACAATTCGGTAGGGACAGATTTTAGCACACCGGTTACTTCAGTGTCCTTTGCTGGAATGGTGGCCACTACGTCCAACTCTTCCAAAAGTTTAGCATTTTGTAAAAAAACATTGGCATTGTTCGAAAGATCGAACGTTATGCCGACTTTATACCGATTAACCGGCCTTAAATGTAAAACACCGGACACGCAATGTGTTCGGATGGCTTTTGAAATTTTTATTCTGTCTTTGTCCGTAAATGGCGTATCATAAGTTTTGTGAGACAAAAACACAACAAACTCTGTTTTATCTGCATTTTCAGGATATTTCCTTTGATACCCAGTTACTTTAAAGATCTTGAATTTCTGAGAGGTCTCAGACTCATCGTCCGAAGAACGACGACTATCATCGCCACCCCCAAAGTCTTTTTTCCGCTTTTTCGTACTAGCCATTTAACTTCTATATACCTATATTTGAATTGAAACACTATTTACATAAAACTATACAAGAATACACAAAAAAAGAGAAAATTAAAATTAATGCAAAAAAAATCTTCAAAGTGCGCCTTTCCTCTTCGAAGGTTCCCGCCGAAAAAATGGCTGTCAGTCAATGTCAAATAAAAGGTGACGTTTTCTGTCATCTTTATTTTTATTTTCTTCCTTTTCCAGAAAAGCAAAGTAAACAATGCATATACAGCCTCTTCAGTTTTATTGTTTATTTATACCATTATATTGGTGTCGATTCTAGCATGATTCTCTAAACCTAAACTTAAATTTGACAGCAGTATATCCTTGTCATTCTCTATACAGAATGAAAAGGAGGGACTGATGTTAAATTTAGATTTAAGTTTAGAGAATCACGCCAGAATTGGCACCATTGGTGTCCATTCTGGCTTGATGCTCTAGACCTAAACTTAAATTTGACAATGATGTATCCTTGTCAGTATCTATACAGAATGAGAAGGAGAGACTGATGTTAAATTTAGCTTTAAGTTTAGAGAATCATGCCAGAATTGACACCATTATTAGCTTAAATTTCATAGCACGTCAAACGACACGACAACATCGCGCACCATTTATTTAAGACTTATATATGTATATTTATAACTTAAAAAACATAACACGATCACAGCACGCTTATTATTGGTGTCATTTTTGGCAGGATTCTCTAAACCTTAACTTAAATTTGACAACAGTGTATCCTTGTCATTCTCTATACAGACTATACAGAACGAAAAGGAGAGGCTGATGTTAAATTTAGTTTTAAGGTTAGATAAGCATGCTAGAATTGACACCATTGGTGTCGATTCTGGCATGTATCATATCAGAGTCTCTTCTTTTCATTTTGTATAGATAATGGCAAGGATACACCGTTGTCTTTAAGTTTAGGTTTAGAGAATCATGCCTGAGTCGACAACTGCTAAACGCACATATGCTACATACTGCTTAGTATAGCATAGTTGAAATTCACCTTACGGAAAGAACGAATGATTACGATTTACGTTTCCTAACACGCATAGAATCAATCATTTTATTTTTTAAGTTAATTTAAATAAATACTTACTTAACTTAATAACTTTTTTTGTAAGGGTTTCTACAGAAAATGTGATGATATTACAATTTGATCTTTAATTATTATTATTGAAATGATACAAATAAGTAATTATAATGATAAACATAACCTAAAATTAATGCTTACATTTCTTTCTTTGAATGATCCTTCGTCCGTAATCTGAATTTTAGTAAATCCATATTCATCATAGTTCTTCAGGCTTCTACGAAACATCTGAAAATAACAATAGTTAGATAGACTTATTAATTATGAAGAAAATCATTTTACTTATTACTTTTAACAGGTAGTTTTTCGGAACCTCTGAAAACTTACTTTGAAACCCACTTATGTAACTTGATATTGAATTAACAATTAGGTATTTAGAAACACTGAAGCTAGCTAACATTTTTTAATGTAAGTTGAAGTTTGTTTTGAAAGAAAACAATTAAAAAAGCCGGACATTTTTGTGGATGATTGCATAAATTACACTGTTTATCAATATACTGATAACAGTATTATCAGTTGCACTCATTCACTCATTTGGTACCTTTATAGGTACTCATTATAATAATATGTTCACATGGTAAAAAGCTCTAAGTAGCCAGTATTAATTAATGTTGTTTATTTCCTTACTTAAGTATACTGTACCGTATACACGAGACACGCAAACTATCAATTACTTATTTCTAAAAGTGCTGTATAAAAAACTTTTTTATACACAAGTACAAAATTAATACTTTTGTCACAATGTCTTTTTCATATTTTAACGAACATCATTTTCTATTGATACGAACTAGAGGTCTCTACTCTGCTAAGATGAGGATAAATGAGAGAAAATTGATATTTTCCGTGTCCTTGTCACATGCGGTAATGTTTATCTACATAAATAATTCTTCTTTACATGTGGGCATATTATTGAACTTCTATACATCTGGATCAGTTGAAGGCGTTAATCTGAACTGAAGCAACCTCATTGCTTCTGAATCGCTCGTTAGTTGGAGCTGGATAGAAATCCATACAAACCAGTTTATATAGTGCTGTTATTTCGTCTGTTCTATGTTATTTTTGATAACAGTAATATGGTACCTATCTGATGCCGCTTCCTATATTCTAAATATAAAGTTAACTATAAAATGTATTGTAACTATTTTTATGATGTAATGGAAGGTGACTTCAGAAGTATCATTGAAGTCATTTTTCAACTTTGTATATAACAGTACAGGGAGAAAAAAACAGCCCTTGCTGAGTTTCTTGCCGGTTCTTCTCAGTACAAGGTATCCCGCCGTAGTTTTGCAAATCGATGGCGTAGCTTCTTGACCTTCACAAGTGCTTGTAACAGCCTAGACTGAATAAATGATTTTTAATTTTGATTTATACATAATGAAAAGGAAATACTGAAGCTAAATTTATTCTAAATTTTATATAAGTTTTAAGTTTAGATTATCATGCCGCAATCGACACCACTGAATCAGTAATTATAAATAGCGACCTGCACCAGCAAAACAAAGCCAATATAATTCTCTAAAATGATTTATTTAAGTATTGCCTAATAAATAAAATTTACATAACAATAAGCGGTTGCTGTTTATGATTTCAAGGCGTCTTGCAGTCCAAAGCCTGGCCCGGTTGGCTCTTCGGTGAGTGATGTGAGACCGCCCAGGGGTTCAGATGCAAACCTTCCGCTCCTAAAACAATGAAATCATGAGGTTATATTAGATAGACTAGCGGCCATCCGTGACTTCGTACGCGTGGAGTTAGTTAGAAATAAAGGTTCACTTCTCGTTCCCCGTAGGTGATAGCGTGATAATATGTAGCCTATATGTTGACCCGACTGCTTAATAATATTCGTGCCAAATTTTAAGTAAATCCATGCAGTAATTTTTGAGTTTATTCCGGACATACAGACAAATATTCTAAAAACTATATTTTTGGCTTTGGTATCGATTGTAGATCACACCCCAAGTATTCTTTTAAAAAATATTCAATGTACAGTTTTGACTTTCCTACCATTTTATTACAATAGATCTTACTTGCTATGACAGTACACAAAAGAACCCTGTAAGGGCACTACAAACATTGACATAAATTGACTTTAAATAAGGTGGTCACTAGTCACACAATTTAATCAATTTTACTGCAGATTAACACACACACATATTAGAATATTATCAAATTATATAAACTACATCATCATCAGCCTATTAATGTCACCACTGCTGGGGCACAGGCCTTCCCTATGGATGGAATAGGGAGTTTGGGCCATGACCCACCACGCGAGCACAGTGCGGATTGGTGGGTAATAACGACTGCAGATGCAGCCGGGATCAACAGCTTAAGCTTAAGCGTGCCTTCCGAAGCACGGAGGAGCTCGAGATAGTAAATTTTCGGTCACCCATCCAATGACTGACCACTGCGAAAGTTGCTTAACATAACGATCGCAGCCGAACGCGCCAACCACTTGCGCCATCGAGCTCCTCTATAGGATAAACTACATAATAAAGTACAATAAACATTAATTGTAAATTGATTGTTATTATAAAATTATGCAACAATACTAGCGGATGCATTGACTTTAGATTTTTATTTGGGTTTTTCAAGCATTAATTGCTGGATGTCTAAATCTAAAGAAAAATTTACTAGAAAAAAATTCACGCGGACCAGGCTGCAGACGGGACTAGAACTCGCACCCTCCGCTATCCGGGTGGATGCACTAACAATTATGCTAACGCGACCCTAATTGTCCTGGAATGGATTCGTCCGGAACAGAGTTGACGAGCGGACGTGTTGTTGTTTTTGTGACTAAAAATAATATTTACCGTCTCTGCTATTGTAATACTTATGTCTGTTTTAACAAGTTCTCTATTCAATTACGGATTGTTTTACTAAAAACTCGTGGTCATCTTGTGTTACTGTGTGCGAGAAGTGAACAAGTCTCCTGTCCTTGTCGTCTGTGACTGCCAGAAGTGCTACGGGATTTGCTACAATCGTGAGCTACGTTTGCCTACGACAAATAGGATCGAAACCAGTTCCTATTATACTTCATTATTTTAGACCTTATAGGTCATTCTTTGTCGGTTGAGTTTCCAAGGATTTTGCTCGCTTGCGATGCCACTCAAACGTACCCCACCTTCGGCAGCGGCTACAAAGGAAGATAATGATATTGTCGGTGGACAGGCCGATCGGATAAAATCATTACAACATTGCGACTCGGCACCAAATCTTAATACAACTGCGTTAAGTCAAGCTACCGATACCTCACCACAAAAAAAATTGCGTTCTAAGCGGAAAAATAGTGAAGACGACGACAAAGATTTCCGATCGTTAAAAATGGAAATAAGGGGTTCGTTTTCCTCTATGTCAGTCGATATGGATAAGCGCTTCGGTTCACTCATGACGGTTGTGTCTGATTTAAAAGAACAATTATCAGAAATGCAAAGTGGACTGCAATTTATGTCGGACAAGTATGACTGTCTTTTAAATAAAATTGAAAACTTAGAACAGGAAAATACAGAGGACAAAAAGCATATAAAATTGTTGGAGGGTAGGTTGGAGACACTAGAACGTAAAACTAAATCATCAGGATTAGAAATTAGAAACATTCCCAAGAGCTCTTCCAGTGACACCAAATTTGAAGATAAGTCGGATCTTTGTAAAATAATAAAAGAATTAGCGTCCTCTGTGGGGACCAAACTCCTCGAGAATGACATAAAGGACATCTATAGAAGCAAAACAACTAAGGAATCTTATAGACCCATTATAATTGATTTTGTGAGTGTTTTGAAGAAGGAAGAATTGCTTTCTAATTTTAGAGACTTTAATAAGCAAAAACCACTCGATGAAAAATTAAATACACTACACTTGCATATACCAGGTCCGAAAAAGCATATCTATATCTCAGAAAATCTCACTTACAAAGCACAGCATTTATATTACCTGGCTCGTTTGTTTGCCAAAGAACACAAATACAAATACTGCTGGACTGCAAAGGGGCTCATCTACCTTCGTAAAGAAGAAAAGTTACCATACCAACGTATCGATTGCGAAGAGGATTTGAAAAAATTGAAATGTGGTATCTGACTGTTTATATGCTGGAATGGTATAGGTTTTGGAGGGTTGTCTTTAAGTTTTGGTTTACTTATAATTTTAATTGTTTCTATGTTACTGTCCATGAATATGGCAAGTAAAATATCTATAATGATACAATGCCTTCAAAGTTACTATACTATAAACATAAATGTTACAAAACTGTCGCTTAGAATGAGGTTGTTTATTGTTTCGCTGTCAATATTAGTTATGAATTTCCAATTTTGCAACCATATTTTATATAACTGTTCGATATACTTCATATCTCTAATTCTTATATATGCAAAAATAATGTTGACCTTTAAGGTTAAAAAATGCCTATTACGCAACATATCAATATTATGCTCAAAACCTGTGATACAACAATTACATGTACTCAGACAAATTATCACTAAATGCAATCATTTACACATAAAAAATATAAAAGAGGAGAGTTATTATAAAACTTATACAGCAAATTTATTTTATAATTGTACATGTTGCAATTTCTTACTTTTTACAGTTATTTTTTACTTCAAAATACTTGTTATGCAATTTAAAATTATTAGATCACCAAAAAGAATAAAACAAAATATGAAGCTTGTTCAATATTCAAATATTTATAAGTTAAAAATACTAAATATCTATTTTTGGTTAACGTGTTCTTGTATGTACAAAAAATATTCACTAGATGAACAAAATAAAACAAACTATTACTGCCGTGTTAGGTATTTTGTTGGTTATTATTTTTTTATTTACTTATTGTGCTCTTTTATTTATAAACAACTTGAATGTAACATATTTCAATGCTTGTATAGTTTCCTACTTCATTTACATATCGATAATATCCTTCTGCACCGTACGTTTAAAAAATAATAAAAGTGATTGACACATGTGAAATTACGGAAGAACTTGATAGTATTTTGGATTTTAAGGGAATTAAGTGTAATGTGGAAGAGGTACATAACCATGCCATTCCATCTCATGCCTGCTTATCCATGCTTACACAAAATATACGCAGCATAAACTGTAATTTCCTTTGCTTGGAAACATTGATGCAAAGAATTGGTATTAACTTTGACATACTAGTACTAACAGAATGCTGGATTCGCTCAAATCCAGTTATTCCTTATCTTGCGGGATATCTTAGCGTGTCCACAGAAAATAATAAAAGTCAAAATGATGGGGTTGTTATTTACATTAATAAAGAGCTTTCTTTTAACATCACAGAACCTGATATAAAAAATGCGAATTGCTTACTAGCTAAAATAAAAAATGATACAGCTATTATTGCTGTTTACAGATCTCCCTCTAATAGAAATATTAATGAATTTCTAATTTCTTTGAACGAATTATTGATTACTTTGGCAGATGTGTCGAATATTATTCTTATTGGGGATATCAATATACCAATAAATTTAGAGAAAAGAACTGATGACTCCGAAAGGTACTTACAACTGGCTGCGTTTCATGGTCTTGTTCCATCACATACAACCATAACACGTGACCAGAGTGCAACATGTATAGATCATGTCTTTGTTAAAACTAAAAAACATTTTCAAGCGGTCATTCCTGAATCATCCATTACTGATCACAATGCTGTTACATTCTTTATACAACATAAGCTCAAACAAAATCTTCCACCAAAAATGTGTAAATTAGTAAATCGTGATGGTTTAATCCATGATATGTTAAACATTGACTTCGATCCCATATATCATTTTGATGAACCAAATTCTGCTATTGATTATTTCATTAATAAATTGCAAATAGTTATAAACAAAAATACGGTAATAAAGAATATTCCAAGACGAAAAATATTAATGAAACCTTGGATGACACAGGGACTTCTTAGGTGTGTACGTCATAGAGATAGGTTACATAAATCGTTTAAGCAGTATCCAAAAAATGAAGTTTTAAAAATAAGTTACATTCGATATAGAAACTTTTGTAATGCATTATTGAAAAAAATAAAGAGAGCTTATGATCGGGAACAAGTAAAAAAAGCAGGTAATAATAATAAAAAAATTTGGAGAGCAGTAAAAAGTATTACAAATACCAATAAAACTTCTGAGTATCCCAAAGATCTTTTAACTATAGCGTCTACTCCAGAATATGCTGTTAATTTAATAAATGATTATTTTGCAAGTGTAGGTAAAAACTTAGCAGAGGCAAATGCGGGTTCTAGTGAAAATAATATATATTATGCTACTGTTGAAAATAACACATATTCTGGTAATTCCTTTGTTCTTCTGCCAACAGATGAGCAAGAGGTTGACAATCTTATACTGGGCTCAAAGGTGGATTGTGCGGTGGGTTGCGATGGCATTTCAAATTCATTCCTCAAAGATTTCCGATCCATTTTAGTTGCACCACTTACGTTCATTTTTAATATGTGTTTAAATTTAGGCATCTTCCCTAAAGCACTAAAAAGGTCAGTTATACGTCCAATATACAAAGGTGGTAAGAAGGATGTAATTAGTAACTACCGGCCTATTTCAGTTCTGCCCGCTATATCCAAAATTCTAGAAAAGATAATTAATAACAGAATAGTTGACTTTTTAGAAAACTCTGGCATTTTAGTTGATTCTCAATATGGTTTTAGAAGAGGGAAAGCTACTGA